AACACGCAAAGAAACGCAAAGAAGCGGTTCTGACTGTATCCAGAAGAGTTTTTTTTTTTTTTTATTAACAGAACTCAAGGGAACATTACTAATATACTAACAGAGAATCACATGAGACCGGACTAAGAAAAGAAATTTGACAACACACAGAAGAAGCCCAAGAAGATTAATTGGACATTACTAACAGTTTAATTTACCAGTTTATATATCACTCAGCTTTCTCTTTCTCCCACTGTCTACCTTTCCCTTTTTTCTTTTAAGCGAAATACCTCCCCTTTTCAGGGGAGCTAATAAAATCTTTATAAAAAAATAAAAATAAATCCTTATATATATAATTCTCTTACGTATTGGCCATTTCCAGCTCTCCCATTCGCTGTGCAACATGCTCCATCAGCCATTGGCCCATCAACAACCAGTCAAGAGTACTCATGTGCCATTGGCTGGGTGCTGGGTCTGCTCCTCTCCGCCCTCCACTGCAAGCCTGGACACTCTTCCCTCACAGAAAAAAACCTGTCAAAATGGCTGTCTCTCCTGACAAAGACACTTCTCCTGCTTGGCTCCTGTGGGAATAACTTTTCCCTCAGTGGATGCTGCTAGGCAACCAAGCTTGGTTCTGTCAGTAAAAAGGCAAAGGAAGGAGTTTAGTATTTAATGCAAAGTAGAAGGAGTATTGGAGTATACTGATATTTTTTATTGTTTACATTACCATTTTATAGTCTGATGTATTATGTTATGGCCTATGGCTAAGACAATAAACTTATAGTTTAAAAAGGAAGCCCTTTTCAGGCCTTTGTGGGGAACTCATGAAGCCAATCCTGACTAGGGTTGCCAGTTCCAGATTGGGAAATTCCTGGATATTCTGTGGTGGAGTCTAAGGAAGCCAGAGTTTGGGGAAGGGAGAGGCCTCAGCTGAATAGAATGCCATAGAGCCCACCCTCCAAAGTAATTATTTTCTCCAGGAGGGGAGTGATCTGTTGTCCGGAGTGCAGTTGTGATACCCAGCAATCTTCAGGCTTCACCTGTAGGTTGGCTACCCTAGGCGTAGCAGTTAGCGCTTCAGAGCAAGGTCTGCCAGACCCAGGTTCTTGCTGTGGAAGTTGAGTCAGTGATTTTGGATCAGTTACAGACTTTCAGCCTAACCTACCTCATAGGGTTGTTGTGAAGATCAAAAGAGGGAGAGGAGAATGATGTAAGCTGCAAGTGTTTCAATTTAAAATATTGTTTAAAAAAAGACTGTACTTTTCCTCCAGGGTAACTTGCCGCCAATCCCCAGGTGAGGGCTGGAGATCACTCAGAATTAAAACTACTCTCCAGATGGTAGAGATCAGGGGCAGATAACAATATGTTGATGGCTGGCTGGGAAGGAGATAGGGTTGCCAAATCCAGGTTGGGAAATTCCTGAAAATTTGAGGGGTACAGCCTGAAGATGGTGGGGTTTGAGGAAGGGTGGGACCTCAGGCAGGTACAATGCCATAGACTCCACCTTCCAAACCAGCCATTTCCTCCTGGGAAACCACTGTTGCCAATCTCCGAGGGTGGGGTGGGGATCACTTCCCCTGGAGAAAACTGTAAGCTTTGTGTCATTATATCCTGCTGAGGTCGACAAAGTAAATTGACGCTGAGTGCCCAAGGCCAGGGCACCTGCCCAGAGCCTCTTTCTAGAGCTCATTGTATTTACTTCCACAGCAGGTCTTATTCCTGGTCATTACATAATAAAACAAAGAAAACCTTAATTCTAGACAATAACACTATTAAAACCAGAACTTGCTGGTCTGTTACACAAAGTCTTTGTGGAGTGTATGGAAGGAAAAAAAGGAAACTGTCTACAAAATTCCTTGAATACAGAGAAATTGGGAAGTTGTGGTAATATTTAATAATATAAATTGTGGTAATATTTAATCTACCAGCAAGACTTCACACAACCAGACTAGCCCAATGCCATCCAGAATGTGTATCCAGCTTTTGAAATGTAGGGCAAGTCGGCCAAGTACATGAACATTATGAACCAATTTTGTAGCAGTTCCTCCAACAAGGCTTTTCACTAGCAAATACAATATAATGTATCTATGGTAAAATGGGTGGAATTCCTAAGAACAGACCTTGA